AAGCTGTATGCACATTCGTGTAATTCTAGACCTGGGGAGGTGGGAACGGGGGTCTCCTGGGGCTTGCTGCCAACCTGTCTAGTTCAATCAGTGCACTCTAGATTCAGTGAAAGATCTTGGCTCAAAACTATGGTAGAGGGGCTGGAGAGATGGCTCAGAGGTTAAGAACACTGTCTGTTCTTCCAAAGGTCCTGAGTTCAATTCCCAGCAACCACATAGTGGCTCATAACCATCTACAATGAGATCTGTTGCCCTCTTCTGGCATGCAGGCAGAATACTGTATACATAATAAAAAAAATAAATAAAATTTAAAAAATATGGTAGAGAGAAATTGAGAACAATATCACATACACACAGAACTGAGAAGCGACTGATAATGCCCTTGCATTCGCTCACTGCTTATGTATTTGCTGTGAACCTACTTGATGTTAGACTTGAACAAGTCAGGACAGATGCATACTTGTTTTTCAAGGGCCTGAAGACCAAGGACACAAAAACATTAATCCAAAAATCCCTCAAGGAAAGTCCAAGTCTCACAAAACCCTGCTCAGGAGGATCTAAGAATGGTTTCTCCTGTGGTTCTGCAGGAAGTATGGGTGCTTCATTAAAAGTCAATATGAGCCAATCAATCTTTTCCTGCCTACTTTCCTCCTCTGGGTTTCTTTAAATGTCACTGCATACACTACCTGGGCTTTGGGATTACAACTTCACCAACCCCAGCCACTGGAAGTCCCCAGACTCTACAAAGCTTTCACAGAAGTCTCTCCACTGTCCCTCCAGCATCCTTAGGATATTAACCTACGCTAGTATCATTTCACAGATGAGGGACCTGATTAGAAAGGTCAAGCAGTGACCAAGGTCACAAAGCCAAGAAGGGGAAGATTCTAGAGTTTCACAACATATAACATAATGGTCAGTGTAATAAGAGAGGTTGGGCGGGGGTCCACAGGAAAACACTTCCTCCTGTTCTCTTCATGCTGCAGAGTTCCCTGAGTAACTAAAAAGGGTTGAATTAAAACACATCAGAGGGTGACACACTTTAGGTGAGGAGACAGGGAAGGATCCTAAGTATTTGATACTAAGGCAGACACCCAAGGAAAGAAGAGCTGCTCATGACAGCAGTGGAGAGAATCTTTAGTCACAATCTTCTGAATACCCTAAATACTTAGTTGTTTAAAAAAAGAGACAGGGGCTAAAGGTGTAGATCAGTAGCAGAGTATATGCTGGGCACATGCAAGGCCCTGGCCTCAATTTCCAGCAACTAAAAACAAAGAAATAAAGGAAGAACTTACAGTGGGCCTGATAAAGGCACTGGGCTCCACATTGCTATCTTTGTGCAGCCTAGGAAAGGCCAGGAAAGGTAGACACATTGGAAGGCTAACAAGGCTAGAGTCCAGTTAGAATTGTCATTCATGCTTTTTCCTCGGTGGAAGATGCTTCCTCTCCACTGAAGCTTTTCAGAAACTTCCCAGTGTTTTGGTATGCTCCCCACCCTCCAACAACTCATGAGAACTATATAAATGATCTTCTACTCAACTACTTACTCCCTCAGCCCTAGGCTTTCATTATTCCTCATCTATTATAAATCACTACAGTTTGAAGTGCTTCCCAAAATGGCCAAATTTAAGTAACACCATTAACACTGAAGGAAGCCAGAATTAAAGATGTGTTGATTAATCCAGTATAAATCTTCCTAAACTCTATGAACACAGGCAATCAAGTCACCAGCAAAGTAAACCCAAGAGAGAAAACAAGCAAACCTAAGAAGGGAAAACACCCAATAAGCTTGCTTAGTTTTTTGTCAATGCAACACAGGTGAGGGTCATCTGGGAGGAGTGGAACCTCAACTGAGAAAATGCCCTCATCAGATTGGCCTGCAGGTCTGTGAGAAATTTTGTTGATTAGTGATTGACATGGGAGGGCCCAGCCCACTGTGGGCAGTGCCACCACTGGGTAGGTGGTCCTGGGTTGTAGAGAAAAGCAATCTGAGCAAGCCATGGAGAACAAGCCAGTAAGCCCCACTTCTCCACAGTCTCTGTTTCAGTTTCTGCCTCCAGGTTCCTGCCCAAAATAAATATATGTCATGTTTTGTTTTGAGACAGCGTCTCTCTACATAGTGCTGGATGTCCAGGAACTGTCTGTGTACAGTAAGCTAGCCTCCGACTCGCAGAGACCTGCCTGTCTCTCAAGCGCTGGGATGAAAGCCGTGCACCACCGCAGCTGTCTAACTCTTACTTACTTTTACCTGTGCAGAGGTTTGGCCTGCCTGCATTTATATGCACCAGCTCATGCCTGCTGCCCACTGAAGTCAGAAGAGGGTTTTAGACCCCTTGGAACTGGAGTTATGGACGGCTCTGAGCCACCTTGCAGATGCCTGGAATTGAACCCTGGGGCCTTTGCAAGAGCAACAAGTTGTCTTAACCACAGACTGAGTCATCTCTCCAGCCCTCCTGCCTTGTTGAGCTTTTGCCTTGGCTTTCCTTGATGGTGGGGATAACATGAGATACACCCTTTCCTCCCAAGTTGCTTTGGTCATGATGTTTTTCACAGCAACAGAAAGCAAACTGAGACCGCTTTTGCACTTAGAAAGTGCTCACCCAAATGTAGTAGACAAATGCCGACCCTCCATCCACAGGGGGTTATCTACACAGGCCCCAGGCCTGAAACCTGTGACTGTCCTTCATAGATGTGATTAAGGATACAGACAGTAAGATTATGTTGCATTATTCCAAACTGATCTGTGAAATGCAGAAAATGTTTTCTAGCTGGATTTGTAGAGTGTCAGAAGAACCAGACAATGTCAGAATAGGCAACAGTGAAAACACAAGGTACAATCTCTACAAAAACTGGCCCCTGACAAATGGCCAGGAAAGAGGATACCTCAGTCTTACAAGTGTAAGGAGTAGAATTTGGCCAGCAACTTGAATGGGACTGAAAGTTGATTCTGCCCCCTAAAATATATATTGCCAACATACTGATTTCAGCCTTGACACCAACACTCACCAAATCTTACCTGAGCCTCTGACATAAATGATCAAATATAAATGTGTTGTTTTAAGATGCTAAACGCATGATAATTTGTTACTAAAGCAAAATGAAATAATACACAAGTAGCAACATATTACAGAGGTAGAAGGCCCCTCAGTTCCCATAAGGAAGCTGCATTATGATGCATCCAGTACACTTCAATTTCCTCCTCCCTCTCCCCAAACCTCAGACACTCCCGCAGCTCTACCCCTACAGTCTGTGATAACAACTTGCTCTTCCAGATCATTTAGGCTTTCCCAAAGAATCCTTGCCCTGGGGCTCAGATCATTCCACAAGCCTTCACCTAGGGATAAGGTAAGTACTTCAATGCAGCATTTATGGGCTGGAGACTTAACGGTCAAGAGCACCCACTGGCTACTCTCTTTTGCATGAGACCCAGGTTTGATTCCCAGCCCTCACAAAGCAGCTCATAACCCCCTGTAACTCCAGTCCCAGAGGACTTCTGACCTCAGACGGCACCGGACACACACTTCTTATATACAGGCAAGCAAAACAGACACATAAAATAAATCTAAAAGAATTTAAAAGCAAAACACTTGTTTGCTGAACTGTCTGCAAAACGGTCCAAGGGTTATTCTGTGGTGGCAGCAAACCATTGCCCAGTGCCCACTCCTTCCGCTGCTCCCCGCTTTAGCCCAGTTTCCTTCCATGATGCCTCACCCCACCCCCTCCGCCCCCTCCATCCAGTCAGTCACCAGTGTGTTCACACATTCCCTTTTCTCTGGAATCTGTCTTCCTCTTTCAATTTCCATCACCTAATGTGGGTCTTTATCATCTCTGCCAACTAAGTTTCCTACAGCCAGTTCACGTGATCTACAGTGGGAATATAAGAGTGAGAGACAAGACATCCCACCAACCCCTCCAAGAAAAAAAAAAAAAAAAAAAAAAAAAAAAATTCCCCAAATTGCCTACTTGGCCTCTCTTGGGTCCTTAATTCATCCCCAGGGACCCAGGGACTTTCCAACACTAAAGCTGCACCACATCAAGGCAGACACTTTTAATGCGTATGTACAAGTTGTTTGCCCAAAACCCCATCAGTAAGCATGCCAACACCTGCTCACACTCATGGATCCTTTGCTCCCAAGACCCAGAACTCTCCACCTACAAGTCCTTCGTGATGCTTTCCCAATCATCTGCTGGGGCTGGCGGCCTGTCATCCTCCTACTTTTCTTTCTGGAGCTCAATCTGTCACCTACAAGGCTGCTCCAGTCCTACTCAACTGACACTTTAGCACCCACAACATGACTGAGCACTGGCACAACTGTACTATCTGTTCCTTTATCGACAGTACCAACCCTCAGGGAAAAGGCTGTGTCACAAGCAATTGTCTAAACACTTCAGGAAGCTCAGTAAAATGGCTAAGTGAAACCAGCACTCGGCAGTGCTCCGTGGGCAGAGGGGATCCAGCCTTTCACTCCTTAAGTCTCCACAGCTACTTCCTGCCACCCTTCGGTCAAGCTGACACACCTTATGGAAAAGACGGGAGCATTCTTTGTCCACACTGCCTACAACCCAAACACATACTGGTCTCCCAATTTTAACTTCCATCCACCCTCCTCCAACTCATTGACGAGATTTTTGTTTTATTTTTTATTTTTATTTTTTGTAAAAGAAGGCACGCGGCACCCCGGTAAATCTCTGACTTTCTCTTTCTGTATTCGGTGCAAATCGAGGCAGAGGAAAATCTGCACTCAAGCACACAAATGACGAGGCGGCTCAGGACGTTGACTCACTAGCCAGGGCTGCCGGGTTTGCTGAGTCCGACCCCAGAAACACTAGCCAGCAGTCCCAGCCTCCCAGGAAAGGCCGGGGAGACCACAGACGGCCGTCTCGCCCCTGTCCGGCTCCCAGCGGACTCCGCAGTTCTGGACAGCGTACAGTGGATCTAGCCCGGCCTGGCCCTCCCCGCGGGGAAGTCCGACCACCCGGTCCTCGACCCTGGCCACACTCACATTTGGCTGACCAGCTTCTGCCGAAAGGCGGCGCTACGCCAGTCGGTCTCCTGCCCCGAAACATCCATGCCCGTAGTCCGCGTCCCTACCGGCCGCCGCCGCCGCCGCCGCCGCCGCCGCCGCCGCCGCCGCCTCTATCTCAGCCCCAGGCCCGAACGCGGAAGCCGAGCGCTCCCGCTACAGGGCCACGCCGGAAGTAAAGGGAGAATTGTGGGAAATCGAGTCTCTCGTGTGTGTACGCATGCGCGCGCGCGCACACGCGCGTGCACACACATACACACACACACACACACACACACACACACACACGCACGCACACACACACACACGCGCACACACACACACACTCACAGAGAATATGAAATACACTTATTTTGTTGTCAGTGTCGAGGTTTGCTGTTGGAATAGTTGCCAACGAACAACACTTTTTTGGGTAAATAATGTTATAATATTTGGGTTTTAATTTCTAATTTAACATGTACGTACATTCTGCAGTTATCAAGATATAAGTAGTATCTTCAACAAAAAGCAATGATAGGTTTAGGATCTCTGCTCATTGTATCATGAAGCTCAGTATTCAAAAGAAAAGCAAAAGCCACTTTCTGCTCATACTTTCTCTATAGTTCATATTCCTTACTTCTTAGTGGTTCATTGCTTAATACAAGACATTTAGAGTATTTTGTCCTATTAAGTGGTTAATTGTTGCTGTGCTTGTGTGTTTTGAGTTCACCTTTCAGTGTTTACATGATACAAGTTTAGGGTCCAGAGGAAGCTGCACAAACCACTAAGACACCAATCTCAGTCAAATATGGATGGTTTGTTGAAAGCACCCGTCATGACTGACCATGGTCAGGGACACAGACTGGGCTCGGGAGCCAAACTGTGATGACCAACATTCTTTAGAGACAGCTTATAAAGGCAAAAACCTCTACTAGGTCAAAGTGGGGGTGGGGACAATGGAACAAGGCAGTCACCTCTGAGTTATTTTTGCTAACTAGACAAGCAGTTCTAGCTGACTTCTAATTTGATTGGTCCCAAGTAGAGGTTATAATTAGGGTCAGCTGCGCTTATGCTTGGGAATTTCTGGGGGTAGCAAGGCCACAGAGTAGGCTGAATATAACAGTTTTTGGTCAACCTGACATTGCAGAGAGCTTTTCTCTGTACCAGCAAAGCTGAAGTGATGTTGAAGGTAGGCCTGAAATGGCTGTAGTTATGCTAGCCAAAAAGAGCAGGCATCAACAAAGTTTAGAGTGGAGGTTATAAGATAAGTAAAAAAATTTGTAAGTCTTTGGTTTTTTTCAAACTACATAAAGGGTCTTATTTAAGAACTTTCTTTGTCCCAGCACTTGGGAGCCAGAGGCAGGCAGACCTCTGTGGAGTTCAAGACAGCCTGTTTTACATAGTGAGTTCCAGGACAGACAGGGCCTACATAGAAAGACATTGTCTCAAAATAAACAAACAAACAAACAAACACTAAAATAAAACAAAAAATAAATCCATATGTTTATTGTTACGGATGAAATAACTTTTTTTTTTTTGTCTTTGGAAAAGTCTTAAATACTTGTGGGTTAAAAACTGAGTGTGAAGCTGGGGTGGGGATATCACTGTGAGTTCGAGGCCAGCCTGGTCTAGTGAGTGAGTCCAGGACAGCCAAGGCTACACAGAGAAACCCTGTGTCCAAAAACAAACAAACAAACAAACAAACAAACAAAACCTGAGTGTGATGAACCTTAAAAAAGAAAATTCAAAACTACTAAGCATGGTGGTGCACGACTTTAATTTCAGCCCTTGGTAGGCAAAAGCTGTCACTACGTTTGCTCAAGGCCAGCCTAAACAAAGCTAATGCAGGTTATTTATTCAAATCTTAATAACTAATATTAACTCTCATATCACAGAACAGAGTTTCAGACCAGTCTGGGCTACATAGTGAGATCCTGTCTCATAAAAAGTGGCTGTGGCTGAAGCTGGGGTGGGCTGATCTGTTGACCCAAACTCCTCACCCACCCAGAATGCCTTGCTGTTGGGAATATTCAAGCCTGATCTAGTGAGTGAGTCCAGGACAGGCAAGGCCACACAGAGAAGCCCCGTCTCAAAACAAACAAACAAACAAACAAACAAACAAACAAATCTGCTTGCAAGTTGGAAACTCTCAAGACAAAAGACGGCCTGAAAAACCACAATTTTACACAATATGGAATAAGAGAATAGGGTATAGGCTGAGGTCAACACATATAAAGGTATGTGGGAGAAGCAAGCCCACAAAGTTGTCTTCTGAGCTCACATGCATACCCCCACACACAAACACACTGAATATCAAATTTGTTTCAAAATTTTCAAAGTGTACAAAAAAAAAACAGTTACAAATTCTGTTTGTTGCTTTCTAGTCCTCTGTAAGCCACATGTACTGGTTTGCTGATCTGACACGAAAGCTAGTCAACTGAGAAGAGCAAATCTCAGCTGAGGAGCTGCCTTCATCAGGTTGGCCTGCGGTCATATATGTTGGGTGTTCAATGGCTGCTGTGAGGGTCCAGTCCACTGTGGGCAATGTCACCATTAGACAGGTAGCTCTGGGAAAGAAGGCATCTCTCCTCCGTGGTTCCCGTCTCTGTTCCTGCCCTGAATCCTCTCAATGATAAACTGTTATCAGTACATGTAAGCCAAATAGATCCTTCTGTTTGGGATCCAAATAGAACCCAAGCTGTTTTTGTCACAGCAATAGGAAGCGAACTCAAACACCATTATCATCAACAGTGTCCTGTTACTTATTTTACCGATGCTGAGATAAAATACCATGACCAAGAGTAATCTGAGAAAGAAAAGAAAGGTTTTGTTTTAGTTTATGACTCTAGAGGGATAAAGTCTTCGTGGCAGAGAAAGCATGGTATCAGGAAGCTGGCCAATCATATTCCTTCCATGCACAGGAAGAAGAGACAGAGACTGGGAAGTGGGGCTAGGCCACAAGCTCCCTTCCTCCAACATGGCTGCACCTCCTGAAAGTTCTAGAAAACACCTCCAACTGGGAATCAAGTTTTCAAAACCTTTGGGGGACATTTCTCACTCCAGTCACCATAAGCAGAGAGTTGTAAGGATGCCGGGGGAGGGGGGACTAGCTGCTTGCAGCACAAAAATTAAGCTATCACCTCGAAGGGTGAGAGTGTTGTGAAGACCTATAGTAACAGAACAAAGGCTGTTTGTTATGTAAACCAAGACACTTTCAAATACATTGGTGGAAATGTCAAAAAGGTTACAGCAAGACTAGTAGTCATGGCACATACCAGGCAGGCTGATGGATGAGTTCCAGGCCAGCCTGCTCTAAAAAGCGAGTTCCAGGACAGCCAGGGTTACCCAGAGAAACCCTGTCTTGGAAAAAAAGATTACAGCAAAACAGAGATGTCTCTGCTATAGGACTTGGATGCTGTCTGGTGACATTCTTAGTCTTGTTAAAAATCAAGAGTCTGTATATTACAAAAAGATTTACCTACTAGTCACAATTATGTTAGGTCATACACAGAACTTTGTAGCAAATAGTTATTTATAGTGCTAATGATACACAGGATGAATCTGGCTCCCAACATAGACTTCAGCTCTCCTAAGTTACTGAAGATTTAATCCATCCATCAGTCTTGCAAAATCGCTAACAACGGTTTGGAATTTTTCTGGAAATTTCAGTTAATGCCATTCAGGTACTTGGCTCTTAAAGCATGGCAGCGGGAAGAGATGGGTGATTGTTTGAACAATATGTGCTCTGTACAGTTTTTGCCTGTTGGAGTTCTGGGGAAAATACAAGGTGATCTGGACCTGTGGATACCTGCTTGCTATGTTCTGACATTTGTAAATTCTTGCCAGCAGTGAAAGGACAGAGACGCCTCTGCACACACCATTCCTAGCATCCTGAGAACTTGCCCTAATCTAGGGTCATCAATTTCTGTCAAACAGGGATCTGTGGCCTTAATGCAGAAAATGATTTCAGGGCTAGCCACAAGGAAGCACAGTTGGCAGTGTTATTGACGATATTTTAAGGTAGACTTGAGCACAAGATTTAGGAGAAAAAGAGGCATTCAGCAGAAAATAAGCCATGCTCCAGCGCGTGGATGAGCACTGCTCAAAGGAGAAGTTGTAGAAAGTGAGACACAGCCAAGTGAGGGCTGAGATCCTCAAGACACGGTCAAAACGAATTGTCTTAGCAGTGACCACGGTGAGGGCTACTACTGACTGTCAGCTTGACAGGGTCAAGAACTGGGAGCAAATCATCTTGACTGGGCTAGCTTCGGGGCATGCTTGTGAGGTACTGTCTAGCCTGGGTTAAACTGAGGTGGGAAGGCCCACCCGAGCTGTGGGCAGCACAGTTCTGTGAGCTGTAGTCTTGGGCTGAAGGAAAAGGAGAAAGTTATTGCTTTCTGGTTTCTGACTGCAGATGAACTAGGAGGAGCTGCCTCACAATGCCTTCTGCCATAACTCCCCCACCGTGGCTGAGGATACCAACTTCGAGCCAAAACAAATCCCTTCTCCCTTAAATTGCTTTTGCCAGGATATTTATGTCATAGTAAAGTAACTGGAAGACTAAGACAAGTCACATATCTTATTTTGGTGTCTCTGAAGTTACATCTTAAAAGGTTCCAAAGAAAAATTGATTATTCCTTTCCTCCCTCTTTGTTAAGTGGAGTTATAGGGGGCTCAGGAGCTGAGGTGGGTGGAATTATAATCTACTAAAGTAAAACCAGTAGTTGTTGTTAGGTTTGGGGCTGGAGGTAACAGGGCCTAGGCAAAGAGGTTCCAGCCTTTCTCTTCCGACCAGGAGCCGGAAACCCCTGCAAAGGCCTTGCAGTGGTGACACATGCCTTTAATACCAGCACTTGGGAGGCGGAGGCAGGTAGATCTACATGAGGTTGAGGCCAGCCTGATCTACAGAGCGAGTTCCAGGACAGCCAAGGCTACACAGACAAAACATAAACCAAAAAATAGAGGCTGTACAAAAGGCTGGACAAAGTGCACACTTCGTTCCTGATTCAGAAGTGACCACTGGACCTAAGACCCACCTACAGGGCCCTGCACTCACCAAATAAGGCTGTATCCCAGTACCTCACCATCACATCACAAACCTTCACCACTC